TTCTCTCTGTTGTTATCTATTTCAACATTTTCTTACTTTTGTCGATCTTTATTTCTATAGTCATTTTTGTCTGTTAATGCTGACTGTTAGTCAAACTGTTACATTGAATACTATAATTTCAAGTTGTATAAAACATATTATTAGTTTAAGATAACTATTATGTCTTTTTCTCCGGGTAATTACAGATCAGACAGAAATAATTATAGTGTAATTATTAAGTTTCTTATCTGTTTTATGGATACGTCCTACTTTACAAAACAAATCACCTATAAGTATTTTCAGTGTATATTATTATTTCTCTTATGAGCGTTGCTATAAGACTTTGGTTCAGTGATCTTATCTTTGTAATAGACCTCATAACCAGTAGAAATCCTGAACTTGAAACTCAATCTACCTAGTGAACATAGGTAGAAGCTATTAACAAAGTAATGTATGACCCTATATGGGCTCAGTGCATATGTAAACTTACAACTAGTTTTTAACAGCCGAAATATGATTAGACAATGCGTCAAGGATAAATTACCGCTTTTGTCCACATCCATGTGTATTTGCTCTTTTACCTGCTCTTGTGGAGCTGTTTATATTGGACGTTGTAAGCGTAATCTCCGAAAACGTGTAGCTGAACACTATCCAGTCTGGTTAATGAAAGGCAAACGTAGAACTGCGAAGTCGTCTATCTGTGATCACCTGTTAGAGTCAGGTCATTTATCCCCACGTGATTCATCTTTCAAAGTTATCTACATGGCAAAATCGAATCGCTCCAAAAGTTTACGTTTTCTTCACTTATGCATAGCCGAAGCTTTAGCTATACATGAACAGAAACCTAAATTATGTGTTCAAAAACGTTTTGTCAAACCCCTTTCTTTACCTTGGTCATAGTAATGTTCTTTCTAGTTTTTACTTTATTTTATTTTACCACTTGAATTCTTTTCACTTCACTTCACATCTTCATTCTTATCGTAGTCGTACTCTTAATTCTTTAGAATTTTTAGACAACACTTGACATTTTAAAAACATTTTTGATTTCAATTCACTTATAAAATAATCTTTAATAATTTTGTAATTTATCCACTTCAACTCTACCCCTTATAACATTTTAATTATCGTTATTCTTATCACTTATATATGTATATTGACTGAGCAATTATTTAGTGCCACTTAATAACCTTTTCTGTAATATAAATACGACTGTACAGCTTGAAAATGAAGTCGTTGAAAAGAAATTTCTTCGCTGAACAAAACACAACTGTGTTTTTACTTACATATATAAACTCACTACTTTCAGTACTAATTTTGGTTTTATGATATTCATAATAATTCCATTATGCTTAAAATTTATTTTGATAAAATCACACAGTGTTATACAATAATATTTTACTGATGACGTTTCGAGCACAATTTATCGCTCACAATCATCAAATCAAGGTACTCAAACAACTTTGTGACCTCGTTTATATACATGAGTAAAAAATTGATGATTAGACATATGAATGAATATAATGTTCAATAGACCTGCGTGAAACACGAAGGAAGATAAAGTACATTCGGAAACAATATTAGTGTTTTTAATAAAATATAATACGATGGAAATTAAGACGAGTGTGTGAGTACCTTGATATAATTACCAGCAATAAATTGTGCTCAAAACGTCATCAGTAAATATTACTGCATAACACTGTGTGACTTTATCAAAATAAATTTTATCCATAATAGAATTCTAAGCCCAGGTATTTAGTCAACTAATTCGTATCTCTTTGATCTTCATTTTTTTTGCATTTGATAGTAAATGAAAATAAAGAACTACATTAAACTACAAAGAACTACGTTCGTGCGTTGGTGGCACAGAGGTAGAATGCTCGCCAACCACGCCTCACGTGGTCTGGAGTTCGATCCCCAGCCGACTCACTCCTTTACCTCGCTAAGCCAGTAATAAGACTGGTAAAGAGGGGAGGTTAGAGGGCATGAGGCTAGCAACCCTATCCCGTAAAATAAACACCACTGCTACAGAAACTTCAAGCCTCTAGCTTGAAGCCCTATTTTCCACTGGGAACGTACAGGAATTAAAATAATACACATTGAAGGCGACATATTTCCTAGATGTCTACTTCCTCTGGTTTTGTCGCATCTCAGCAAATGTTTAACGATAATAAAATAACCAGTTATATAGGAAAGGGTTGCTGAATAGTTAACACCAGTTATGCAGACTTGACAATTTTCTAATTTGTTTAATACCACACCGTTACTACATTTAACACGTATAAGTGTGGGAAATGGATCAATATTTTGATTGTGTTTGTGTTTGTCTAGCTATTGCTGTGGTATTGCATAATCTAGTACAATGCCTATTTTGCTTTCCGTGACTAGGCCGCTTTGACTGTAAAATGTAAGATGCTGCTACAGGACTGGACTACGTCAACTCCTAGCTTAGTGATAGGGAGTGAAGTGATAGAACATGTTGACCACTTCACCTATTTGGGAAGTTGTATCAGCACCAACGGATTGATTGGTGACGAAATCACAGCACGGATCCAGAGAGCTAGAGCTGCTTTCGCTAACTTACACTATCACTGGCGTAGGCGTGACATCCGGCTATCAACCAAGGGATGTGTGTACTGCTCAGCAGTTCGCTCCGTCCTTCTCTATGGCTCTGAAACATGGCCACTACGAGTTGGAGACATGAAAAGGTTGACTGTTTTGACCATAGATGTCTACGATCTCTTTCTCGCGTTAGGTGGTATAATAAGGTAAGTAATGTTGACGTTAGGCGTAGAGTGTTGGACAAAGAGGGAAAATCAATCGGAGAGGCTATAAAGTTACATAGATTAAGATGCCTAGGTCACGTGCTGCGCATGCCTAACCATCTCCTCCCCCGACGGATGGGCATTACTAGCTGATATAGGTGTAGGTTGGAAGAGAGGAAGTGGTGGCCAAACAAAAACATGGCATGAATCCATGAGATCCTTGACAGTTAAACTGAGTCAGGTAGGGAGATGCAGACTTCCGGGTTGGGGCCCTCGGGACTGTAAGAATCAATGGCTGGAGACAATAGGTGACATGGCTCAAAATCGTTGTCAATGGCTTACGCAGATGTATTCAGTCTCTTTAACCTTCATATTCCTTTCTACCATTACTCATTCTGTTTCACTCTTATACTTGTCAAAACTCTATTGATTCTCTTCACTCATTTTCTTGTCTACCTTTGTGTGTTATTTGGAACGTGGCAACTCGAACTGGTGCACTTCGGTGCCAAGTTATTTTTTATTTTTTTTTGATTTACAGCTTGAATCCAGCCAGCCAGCCAGGCCGCTTTGATTAACGCTACTAAATATATTAAATGATATTATGAATATTGGTTTTACGTTAGCTTTTTGTATTTTCCGCTCATTGATCATGTTGAACCGAAATGTTCGGTCCATGTTGATACGTAAGCTTTGACAATGTCTGAGGATTAACATGGTGATATTTGTTGGATGGTGACTAACAGTGTGATTCAGGATGGGCAATTCGTTACCTGGATATGTACCTGCAATTCTCAGTGACTGACGGTATCCTCACTGAGATTCTAACCCTACTCCCATAGTTTCAAACGCCAAAGCGAGTAACCATCCATTCAATAACATCATGTTAATTACGCTGATTTGTAAATGTTCATACAGTCAAATATGTAATTCAGTCATGGATCAATGATTCATACTAGTTTGTATAATAATCACTTTCTAATTCTATGTACACTTTTATATGTGATGAATTAATATGCAGTATTCTAAGTCTATTGATTATCCCCATACATGTGACAATAACTAATAGTATGTTTATTAATGTGTATCTCAGTTTGCTTGAGAATGATAAACACATAAATAACTTTGCTGTCTGACACACTAGCTGTCCTTAAAATACAAGATTATTACTACAATCCGTAGAGTTCTTGTTTGATTCTGGATACAAATTTGACTTAGTACTAATTCTGGAAAAATTACTTCTTAGTTGGAATGAAAACAACACATTAATCCTCAGACATTGTTAAAGCGTCCGCACTAAGAGCCGACATGTTAACAGAGACCGAATATTTCCGCCCAATATGTGATGTCAACAGGAAATACAGAAATGAACTCAGAATATATGATAACTGATACCCATTGCAAGAAAGAGGTGGCTTCCGTGGTCTAGTAGATAACGCCTTGGCATTTGAAACAATGCGCACGGGGCTCAGTAGTCTCCCGACCGAAAGCTGCTACCTTGGCGTGGTGGTCGCGCTTGAACACCGCAATGACCCTACAAGCTATACTGGCTGAGACTTATGTCGCTTGAGGTCCTACCATGCCAGAAAGGTTGTTTGAATAGCGGTTAGACAAAAAGCAGCTACCCAATCCAATACTATGATTCAAACAAATTCGCAAAATATCATACCGGATCGGTTGGGGCCCGGATTAACAACGACCGCGCTTCCTGCTGCCGTGTCACAGGGCAGAAGTGATAAATATGCTACTGAGACACACCAAACAAAGAAGAACAGGCCGCGTGTGACCGGCCTCAAGCAGTTGTCCCCTGGGCTCTGCGGTCACGCAACACTCTGTGTTTCAGGTTCCCGAAGAATCAATCAACTTCCACGGTGTGGGCAGCCGGGAAGTAACAACTGCCCACACACTTCCAAAAGCACACGAAGCCTTCCTGAACATCACTCTCCCTTACTCACATCACCTTCCTCAGTAGGCACACCATCACTCACTGGGAATGCAAGCACATCCAGATGATGAGTTTCAAACGGGACGAAATAAGCATCCTGGATTCCACTACTGATCACCATCCGGTGTATACCGTCATATTACGAATAGTTCTTAAATTCCAGTCAGGTAGTTTTCAGACGTTCGCCTTTTCATAAGGTCATTATTGAGTTGTTAATGTTTTGTCTTCAATAAATCTAGTATGAGAATTTTATTTCTTTTTGTTTCCTTTACTCTCTAATTTTTCTATTTATCATCTTTTTCACTTCATTTTTACAGACACATGTTGGTATATATGCTTTTATACCATTTATAGTGGTCCTGATAGCTGTCCTGATATTTATTGTACGATATCTACCCGAAACAAAAGGCAGAACTCCAGATACTATTCAAGCCTTCTTTATGCACGCTTGTAGCAGTCGTGTAATTGATGAAGCATACGAAAATCCTTCATTCACTGATACTACAGAAGCTGCAAGTTAGTTTATGCCTACATATAAATTTGTTCATGTATTTAAATATTATCTTGATAAAGTTGAGTTAGTCCATGATATCAACTGCTAATTTACAACTCTGTATGTGTAGTTCAAATAGACTGATATCGGACTGAGCATTAGTATAATATTTTGAGCACTTTATCAATCAGTGTAATTGGCATTGGTATTATTATTATTGTTCCCTTGGGTTCCTAGTGGAACATAAGGCTTCAACTGCACGCCTCCACTTGCTTCTGTCTTCTGCTGTACTTTTCACTTGCATCCATGTTAATCCATACTGTTTCAGTTCCTCTTCACACGATCTCCTCCATGTCACCCTTGGACGTCCCACTCGCCGCTTCCCTTTCAGGTTCCACTCGAGCTATGGCCTGACGCGCGATGTCACACAGCGAGTGGCCTCCTCAGCCAGTGAGTGTCCAATCCATCTCCACTTTCTCCTGCATACTTGTTGGGCGATTGGTTCTTGTTTTGTTTGTTCCCATAGTTTCTCGTTGGTGATTCTTTCCGGCCATCTGATCTTGAGTATAGAGCGAAGACAGTTGTTGATAAAGGTCTGCAACAGGCTGTTGGAAATATTCTTTGTGACCCGCCAAGTTTCTGATCCGTGTAGAAGAACCGACTTGACGTTTGTATTGAAAATCCGAATTTTGTTGTTGATGCTGAGTGAAGTGACGAAGATTTCCAGATTGTTTTCAGCCTGATGAATGTGTTTCTCGCCTTCCCGATTCTCGATTTGACATCCTCGTTAGTTCCTCCTGTAGTTGAGACAATGCTCCCTAGATAAGTGAGTGAAGTAACCTCTTTCAAATTCCTCCCGTTGATGGTGATTGGCGCTTGATGTTGCTGCTGTTGTTGTTGTTGGATGGTTACTTTCATAACCTCCGTCTTGTCTATGTTCACCTGGAGTCCTGTCTTTGCTGCTTCTTCGACCAGTTTTGTCGGTTTTCGCTTGTAAGTCTTCGATTTTGTGTGACATCAAACATAAATCATCCGCGAAATCCAGGTCTTCTAGGTTCTTCACGTCGGTCCAGGATATCCCTGTCTTCTCGTTTCCTACTCCCTGACACATAATCCAGTCCACCACAATTAGAAATATCATTGGTGATAATAAGCACTCTTGTCTGACTCCTGTGTTTACTCCAAACGCCTCACTGAGTTTTCCGTTGTGGATCACTTGACATGTGCCGTTGTCGTACAGCTGTTGAATAAGGTTGATGAATATTTGAGGTACGCCGTAGTACTCGAGTAGTTTCCAAATTACTTCACGGTCAACGCTGTCGAAGGCGTTCTCAAAGTCTATGAAGGAAGTTGAGGTATAGGTTTGATTGCCATTCCATGCTTTGTTAGATGATGATGAGTAGAGTTGCAATTTGGTCAGAACATGATTTGCCTTACCTGAATCCAGCTTGTTCTGGTCGGAATTCTGCATCCAGTGCGTCCTTAATTCTCTCCAGGATGATGCGACTTAAAATTTTTTACTTGGCGTCGACAGGAGCATGACTCCTCGCCAGTTCTTTCAGAGTCCTAAGCCACCTTTCTTTGGTAGTTTCACAAGGTAACCTTTCCTCCAGTCAGCAGGCACCTTTCTGTCCTTCCAGACCTTTTGCAATAATGGAGTCAGCATATCTGCTGTCGTCTCTGGGTCCGCTTTCAGTGCTTCGGGGTACTGGTATACTAACAGAAATTCTCGTGTACATATAGTTTTGCCTAAAACACTTTTTTTGTACTATGTAGGATCAGATCTGTAGTTTTCATTTTTTTATGCGATAAAAGGCTTCTGTGTCTTTAATGTTTCGAAAATTCTTTGGCAGATTCTAAGAAACTCCGTGTTTTCTGAAGATTTTGTGAATACTGTACATTTATTTTGAATTTGGTAAAGCATAAAAATGTATTAGAACACAGTTTGAATGAAAAAAATGTTGTTTAAACCTTAGCTAATACTGTGTTGTGCTGGTTGATGAAACGAAACATGTGATAAAAGATAAAATGGAGTCCCATAAATGAAGTAACTTGGTGATAATGTTGAGGCATCAGTCTAATTATTATTATTATCATCCCACCCTACAAGTTACTTATATAAACTCTCTGTGCCTTCCCCTACCCCCACTCCACCAATAAATGAGATTATTTTTCATTAAGAGAATAGGTAGATTCAGGCAATAAGTTGATGCTGACACTGTCTGAGACAGCCTTCTGTTAGTAAACTGTCACTGATGTTCAAGAGTGAATCTGTAGCGATTTGATTGGTTTCAACGTGGATCACGGATTGATATCGGTTAGAGAAGCATTTAAAACCACGGGGTACTTACTGGGCAGCTATTCCGTCCTAGTTCGGGACTCTTCTTCAGTACACTTTCATGATTGCACAGGGGATCGAACCCGCAACAACATTAACAATTTTCTTTCAGAAAATAAAACTCTACTTTGATTTTCTCATTAGTTTATTCGTTCTAACAGTAATATAATCTGAAAATGTATACAGTCAGCTGAAATAGTTAACTAATCAAACATTTCTCACTTAGAAGACAAAGAATATTCTTTTCGATAATTTCCTCTTCCGGCTCTACAATTATATATATATATATTTGATATACATAGAACATTCTAGAATAGTAGTCAGTAACAATATTGGTGTTTTTTCAATAATATCGATTTGTAAAGTCAGATCAATGGAATTACAGTTCATTACAGATGCCTAAATTATAATGATAGTAAAAATATAATAGCAAATAGAATATCAACTAAAATTAAGGAAATTTCTACAAAAAAGTGAGGATCATTCGAACCTAGATGGCCAAGGTAAGGACAATGTCTGAACTAGCTTCTTTTGGACACATAAATTAAGCTTCTTAATGTGGATCCCAACGGCGTACGGGAGTAAAAGACAAACTGCCTAATTTCGCCTCTTCCATTTGTATCTACCAATTTAACTGCTCCTGTGGAGCCAGTTACATAGACCGTACAATTAGGCATGTTTCTCGTCGGATTTCAGAACATCACCCTGCGTGGTTAAGTAAAGGACAAACGAAATCTATTCGCAGCGCTATTCTATCTCATCTTGTGGATACAGAACACAAGATTGATGTCAACCAGACTTTCAGAGTCATTTACCGCATACCAACAAATCTTAACTTCGCCTTAAGAGTTCGTTTATTAAGTAATGCTGAGGCCGTTGGGATCCACATTAAGAAGCTTAATTTATGTGTCCAAAAGAAGCTAGTTCAGACATTGTCCTTACCTTGGCCATCTAGCTTCGAATGATCCTCACTTTTTTGTAGAAATTTCCTTAATTTTAGTTGATATTCTATTTGCTATTATATTTTTACTATCATTATAATTTACGCATCTTTAATGAACTGTAATTCCATTGATCTTACTTTACAAATCGATATTATTGAAAAAACACCAATATTGTTATTGACTACTATTCTAGAATGTTCTATGTATATAAAGATATATATATATAATTGTAGAGCCAGAAGAGGAAATTATCGAAAAGGATATTCTTCGCTCAATTATTTTGTCTTTTATAGATGTCTGAATGAATATTTTCGCTATATTAATATCGATTTGTTATGATCAATGAAATTGCAGTTCAAGATGCATAAGTTATAATAAGCATAAAAGTGTAATGCTAAATACAATATCAAATAAAATTAAGGGAATCTCTACAAAAAATTAAGGATCATTAAAACCTTGATGGCTAAGGTAAGGGAAGCGTTTGAACCGACCAACTTCTTTTGGATACATAGATTAGACTTCTTAACGTAGATTCCAACAGCCTTAGCGATATGTAATAGCTGAACTCTTGAGGTAAAATTAAGCTTAGTTGGTATACGGTAGATGACTTTGAAGGCCTTGTTTACATCAAATTTGTGTTCTATATCTACGAGATGTGATAGTATAGAACTATGAATAGACTTGGTTTCTCTCTTACTTAACCACGCAAGATGGTGTTTGGAAATCCGATGACAAACATGCCTAATTGTACAGTCTAAGTAACTGGCTCCACAGGAACAGTCAAACTGATAGATTTAATTATTATTTTATTCCTGTACGTTCCCAGTGGAACATGGGGCTTCAAGCTAGAGGCTTGAAGTTTCGGTAGCAGTGGCGTTTATTTTTACGGGATGGGATTGCTAGGCTCATGCCCTCCAACCTCCCCTCTTTACCAGTCTTATTACTGGCTTAGCGAGGTAAAGGAGTGAGTCGGCTGGGGATCGAACTCCTGACCACGTGAGGCGTGGTTGTCGAGCATTCTACCGCTGTGCCACTGACGCACACTAACTAATAGATACACATGGAAATGGTGAACTGTAATTTCAATGATCTTAACAAATCGATATTATTTAAAAAACACCAATATTGTCAGTGAAGATTATTCTAGAATATTCTGTGTATATAATTATATATATATAATTTTAGAGCCGGAAGAGGAAATTATCGAAAAGAATATTCATTGCTCAATTTTTCTTTTGTCTTCTAAATGTCTGAATGAATATTTTCGCTACATTTCTCAACTGTTCCCTGTTTATTTTCCCATTTTAGTACAAGAAGACAGACAGACGCAGATTAGTTTAATAACCTAGAATATATATATATATATATATCAGGGAATCTCACGTCGAATCAACCATACAATCGTTCTCATATTGTTCTTTCAACTACTTTCTAACTGTCTCTTTATTTTTATATTCGACTTTGTGTATATTTCTTATTTGTAAATTTCATAATAATGTGCACATATACCCTACTTTAAGTTTCGCCCATTTTTTGTTCCTTAACACTTAAGTTACTCTAATCTGTTACTAGTCTCTCTCTCTCGACATTTACTTTCTTTATGTGAGTACTTTTTTCAACTTATTATTTAGTTTTAATTGTTTATTATATATTTATTTATTTACTTACTTGGTCACTTATCTGGTTGTTCTTAATATCATTAATATAATTGTACTGAATCATGATATATGCAATCTTTGTATTGTTAATGGAATGTAATCATAACAGAGGCTGTTGTCGTTGTTCACCTTATTTTAAATCATCAGATATTTTTCTGTCTATTTGAGCTTTTAAAAAGTATGACAGCATTTTTTGTTTTCAGTTTTCAGTAATTAAATTTACATTAAAAGAATTTCAGTTTTTGTGTGATTACTTTTATGTTTCCACTAACAAATAGAGTAAGTTGAAGAGTAAGTTATTGTAGGCTGATGTGTTTACTTCCAGTGTATACTCAATATTAGGCGTCGGTGGCACACTGGCAGAATGCTCGCCAAACACGCCTCACATGGTCCGGGTTTCGATCCCCTGCCGACTCACTCCTTGACCTCGCTAAGCCAGTAATAAGACTGGTAAAGAGGAGAAGGTTGGGCATGAGGCTAGCAACCCCATCCTGTAAAAATAAACACTACTACAGAAACTTCAAGCCTCTAGCTTGAGGCCCTATGTTCCACTGGGAACGTAAAGGAATGAAAAAGAAACAACTCAATATTTGATGGAGAGGAAGTACACCAAATAATTGGTAGTTGACAATTGCCAAGCTGATGGCTTTAAATTTCAGCGTATTTCACGAATTTCGTCGTTGGTTTTAATGAAATGACGTGAATAAATGTTCAAACAGACATTATAAAAGAAAACTTGGGAAAGACGCAATATGATTACGTAATACTGAATTGTGGAGGCTAATATTATAATTCATAGAAAATTCCCATCGAGACATATAGAAAATCAAAGCAAGTGATTCAGCGAAGAGAGACTCTTTTCAATAAATTTATTATCAAGCTGTACAACCGTACATATTTATGGTTTTTAAGAAATTATATCCGGTGAGAGAATTGAATCATAGGTGTGAATACATAAAATAATAATAGTAGTATGAAATGCAATTAAAGTGTTTGTGATTTGCGTACAGAAAAGTTTTAACATACTTGCAAATTTTTTTACATGTCAGTTGACAAAAGTTCTATCTATATATATAAATGTATGTAAATGACAGTTGCAGCGAAGAAAATTTTCTTTTCGACGAAGTCATCATCTAGGCTGTACATTCGTGTATTTATATCAAATGGATGGGAAAGTTCCAGAATAATTTCTGGTTAGGGGTTAAATTAATAAAAATGACAATTAGGAATTAGAATGCCATAATAAACAGGGGGATGGGTAAAACTCAAACAAAGTAGCATAATAACTAAGAAGACTGACATTATGCAATTGGGGGTTAGAAATGTAGAAATAACAAAATATACAGAATGTTTGGATAAAAAACTAATATGATGAATAATTGTTTATGCAATCACGGATTAAATATGTAGAAATAGTAAAATGACAAAATAAACAGGAAGAGTGGATATGAAAATATGGCAGTGTAGACAGGGATTAAGAAAACTTAAAATAACATGAATAAACAGGAAGTTTAGATAAGAAAGGCGATGGGATGGTTCTAATCATAGTTTGAAGTGAGGTAGTAAAACAATTAATGCCATATATAGAAGAATTCATAGGATGTGTAGGATTTGGAAGGGGTATGAAATAATAGGATTAGTAGGCAAATAGAATAGAATAAAATAAAAACGTTACGTAACATTGTGTGATATTTGATAGCATAGAATTTGAGGTTACAAAAGAGAATTGATTTAGAATGACAAGTGGGACGAGTGAAATAATACGGTAGGCAGTTCTAAGCGAGAATAGTAATAGTAACAATAGACGTAATAAAGGAAGAGTATACAAATTGAATAAACGAAACGAAAAGAATAGGTGGAGCCAAAATATGATTAGGGATTACCATACTTTAGCATGGAGGGATTAAGACCATGAAAGTTCGGGGAGGGGGTTGAAGGAACTTCTGTATACAGAGACCTGGCTTTTCTGTTTCAATGGCCAGAGCGCTTCAGCAATGCAGATGAGTCGGATAAGTAGTGATTTGGATAAATCACTTTTCGTCGTGTAGATGACTTTAAAGTTGGAGGCTATATTGATAGGCTAACCATTATCGACTAGATGTTCAATGATCGCGCACATATATAACCCGGGTTTTAGTTCATTATTGTTTATTTATGTCACTGTGGAAACTGATGAATTACTCTTTGTTGTATCATAAAAAATAATTTTTATTAATATAAATTCTTAACATGACAATGGTAGGTTTTTCAAAATTGTATACCTTCTACCATAAGCAATAAGCTGATCTGTGATGTGCTCTTACTTCATTTAAATAACCTTTTAATTTTATTGCGACAAGTTGTTTTGTAATCAGATAAAATATAATGAGTGAGTTTATGACATGCCCTAACAACAACGCTTATTGTAGCGTTGCTATGTTCATGTAATGACACAAATGATTAATATATTATTTAGATATTTGACATTAAATTATGAATTAGCGAAATTTTTCGAGGTATTAATTTACATGGCCTCAGAGTCTTGCTAGTGTCTGTGACATAAATATTGCTTCACATAGTCATATTCACGCTTCAGACTTCAAAGTTAAACATATACAGCTGCATTTTTCACGATTTCATGCAGCTATATTCTGTCTGTTGAATCGGCAATTCTTCGTTTTTTCTTGTGTTCAAGTGACGCTCACTGAAACTGAGGGTATTTAATTTATTTTGATAAAGTCTCACAGTGTTATACAGTAATATTTACTGATGACCACGTTTCGAGCACAATTTATTACAGCTCATAATCATATCAAGTTACTCAGACAACTTTCCAACTTCGTTTATATGATTCCACTGTTTCTCATCTCTTGATTTGATTGGTAGTAATATTTCCCATATTTCTGGTAGGAGTGATGAATCATTCCTATTGGACGTGTTGGGTGTAGATAAGAGGGGGGGATTATACTCTACCACAGTGCACAAGTTCTTTTCTTATATCAATGGGGATATTTAAGCTATGCCGTATCATCGCTCAAATATTATAACACTTAAAAACTTGATTAATTTAAGATGTATTAATCAAGTGATCTTTGATTATTTGTCTGTAAGCTTATCTTTTCAAAAGGGCAACATATTCTGTTAGGAAACCTTCCAATGAATTTAATAAAAATATTGATTGTGAACAACAATAATAATAAGAAGTACAAAAGCTCTTGAAATTAGATACTTAAAAGTTGGGTGATATAACAATGTCGACCATGTTATGCGGTTATTTCTAAGTCGTATACATTCGGAGGTAAAAATTGGTGGAAGTCTTCAATGAATAAAACACTATGTAGTAGAGTAGGAGCGTCGGTGGCACAGCGGTAGAATGCTCGCCAACCATGCCTCACATGGTCTGGAGTTTGACCTCCGGCCGACGCACTCCTTGACCTCGCTAAGCCAGTAATAAGACTGGTAAAAAGGGATGGTTGGGCATGAGGCTAACGACCCCATCCAGTAAAAATAAACACCGCTGCTACTGAAACTTCAAGCCTGTAGCTTGAAGCCCCTTGTCCCACTGGGAACGTAAAGAAATAAAAAAAAATAGGATAAGAGAAATCAACATAAATGTACAATGAATTATTCCAAAATCCATTGTATTCATTCAGAGCACTGATATGATTAATTCGACCTTTTAGTGTCGAAGAATATAAAACTTAGCCTAATAAATGGAGAAAAACGCTATGGACAAGGATATTGCTTTCTTTTAACACACAAAGGTAAATCTTTAGTACCAAACGTTTCTTTCTTTCCGTAATTTTCTCCTGACACAGAACCAACTAATCTGCCACTGATGCGGTTGTCTTTCAAGCTCAATGCCTGTAGAGGTATCTTGGTAGAGCAGATTTTATGAATGTAATGAAATTTGAATAAGCGGAGATATCTTTCAAATTTTAAATAACCTGTTTCTGTTTCACTCTTGTTGAGTATTATAGTTTCAAGTGGTTAGGTTCGATTCAATTTAAGTACTGATATAATAATAATCTCCATATTTTTGTGTATAGACGAACGATAAAACATTTGACATTGGGTTTTTCTTCTCACCTATGTTGCTTGTCTATGCTGGAAAAAATTCGTTACAATGTTGTTCTCATAGCTATTAGTGAATAATCTTTGAAGACTACAGTTAATCTTATTATAATAATAGCTATTATTATTATTATCGTCCTTAACTCTGAAGATAATTCACTGATATTATTCATTCATGTGTCTACATGCGTAAACTTGCTTTTCTAATTGATTTCTGAAAACGTAATTTAACACTCAGTTGTATAGCCTATATATACTGGTCACAGTAGGAGAGACCCATATAATGTACAGTTGTTGGAAAGCAAGTAAGTGGTGAGTGTATTGATATTTTCAATGCAAATAATTTTGTGCTAATCAATAATAACGCAAGTAAAAATTGCTTTCGAACGAAAATGCACCAATTTGGCTACATAGTATTTACGAAAAGAAAAAAAAGTGTTATGTTATAATTAGGAAATTAATTTCAATCAATATGAAGTTAGCTTTTGAATTACAATTTCGGTGGCACAGTTGTTAGGACGCTTGCTGACCATGCACATGGCCCGAGGTTCGATCCCCTGCCGACGCACACCTGATATCAGTTGGTCGGCCTGCAAAATTTGGGCTACAGATATCACATTCTGAAAGTTCCATACTTGAACTAAAATACTGTGTGGAATCAAGCTATAATGAAATAAATTTTAAAAAAATTAAATAATAATGCTTCCATCAAAAATCCATTGGATATTATCGGGATTTTTCCGGCTAAATGGATGTGAATAACTAAATCTGCAACGGTGGTTGTGGTGATGGTGACGGTGACAGGTATGTCGTTTTTAATCCTTGGCTTTCTTTCATAGAATGACAAAAGCAAAACTACTCTTATGCCTTGACAACATCAAGTGTTTCTCATTACCAGCTGTATGCAGTTGCACTATATTGCTAAGATAAAGTAAAGCGCTAAATTACCTTCAGGTGTTATAGACGTCAACCTGAAACCACTTTGGAAATCTTTTACACTCAGCTTAAGGAACAAGATTCGGATTTTCAACACCAATGTCAAGTCGGTCCTTTTACACGGATGAGAAACTTGTGGTGCGTGTCACGAAAAGGATTTCCAACAGGCTGATGCTTTTAGCTACAGCTACCTTCTCTGGCCCCATACTGAAGATCAAATGGCAGGCCAGAAAGAATTAGTAACAAGAAACTCTGG